TATGCGATACTTTTGCACGTGCACGCGCATTAACTGTTGAAGATTCTTTAGCAGGATAGCTGCCCGTTTACGGTGATGAACCCCAAAGTTACCATGGCGAATCTATCGCCAACAGCTTTGCCAGCGTGTGGTTGCTGTTATCATTTGCTACCATTCGGGCCACTTCCTGAATGCCTTCGCAGAAGAAAGTAGAGAAATCAGGACCGAATCACCGCAGATTTCTCTTAAGCGAAAATTCATTTTTATGCGTTTTTTGCAGCTATGCAACGCAGAAAGCGCTTATTGACGAGGGGTTGTCTGTGAGTCCGTGTGTCTGTGTGTGCGTCTGTCACACACTTTCATCTCACGACCTATAAAAGCTGCGGGGCTGAAATTTCGGGAATTTAATGTACAGGCACGTGCCGGCCCCAATCTCCAAAATGGGTGCCATCACCCGCGTGGTACTCGCGTACGAGCCGGCCAAAATTTTTTTCGGTTAAGTTCATAACTCGGGGATCTGAGAAGCTAGAACGCTGAAATCTCAGGGGAATGTTCCTTCTCCAAGTAGGTATTAACGAGTTCAAACCCTGCCCGCGGGCAAGCGTGGTACCTACGTACGGGCCCTTGAAAGTTTCTTCCGGATAAGTTGCTAACTCGGGAAAGTGAGGAGCTAGAAGGCTGGGATTTTGAAGGGATGTTTCCTGACAGTCCTGGCCGCCAGTCTGAAATTCTTTTAGCTATAAGCATCTGCCAGAAAAACCAGTGCCGTTAGCGATAAAAATCTGCGAGGAGCTATGCAAAAAACGCATCTTCGCACGGGCAGCCCGTGCGCTGGCCAGTTATTTTTTTCTGCTAAATTTTCATCTATGCATAATCGGCGAGATTATGCAAAAATGAAATGGGCGTTTTGAGTCCAGAAGTGCAGAAACTAAGGCACCGAAGTTAGAGCGGACGCAAGCCTGAAATTGGCCTTCCATCCCCCGCTCGTGCTAGCTCGTAATAGTTTCTTAGCTTCATACAGTTTTACAGCGGACGCAGAACAAACTGAATTTTGTTGGTGTAGGTCATTGTCAGGCAGATGGTTAAAAAAGAAAATTATTGGAGTGGCAGCACCGATCGAGCACGGATAAATCTGAGGTGTGCTTGAGCAGGCAGACCATAGTACTGGGTGGATAGAATCTGGGCAAACGTGATAAATTTAATTTTTGGACAACTTAGCATACGTAAATGTGAGAGTGGAAACCAAACATCGGGGAAACTAGCACGTGGGAAGCGAATTGGCATATAGTGCAATCGCCTGCACGTGTAGCTAGTACTTTCGGCCAGTTTTACACGCACAACGGTATGGTCGATCGAGCCGGCCCTACGTACTTATCATTTGGATCTTTTGAAATGATGGTAAATTTGATTGTCAGGCTAATCAAGCGCGAAAGTGGTGCCGGGTTTCCCAAATTCCTCCGTTATGAGTCATTTGGTGGGGTAAGCAGCCAGCTTGGCACGAAAACATCGATCACTATTTGTGACTTATTCCGGCAATATTTCGCGGCCTCACAACACGGTGTCACGCTTGTTCCTGAAGGCGCAGCATACCACGCAAAAATCCAACTTTTCTGCGAAAGTTTCTCGAAGCCAATTTGCATTTTTATTTGGCAGGCTGAGCCGAACGTGAGTGAGCCAGTAACAAATTTGGAGGAGTTCAGTGTTATTGTCAAGTCATCGATGGGCGACAAAAAACAGAAAGTACGTGTTTTATATGCGGGCGAGACGGATTGCGTTGACGCAGGTCAGTTTGCACCATTTTCAACACTCGATTGGATTGTTTGCATAAGGAAATTGTATTTTCGACATTACTCTAAGGCACAGTTTAAACAGATGGAGAATACGTGGAGCTGAAAACACAGTACAAGGAGTTCTCCAATTCATTCTGGGAACATAAATCGATGAGATGGTGGCTGCAGTCCTACTTGATCGGCATACGAAATGTTATTGTTGGCTTCAGAAACAACGATGGTAAGCCTAAACGATTCCTTCATGGATTACTGCTGTCGTCCATGCTTTTTGTGCTTGGCATACCATACTCAATTTTTATATAGTGCTCGATTCACTGTTGTGGCTGTGAAGGTAGCAAACTCGCGCAGTGTAGAAACGACTTCAAGTAGCCGGTCGGCGTTTTCTTGGCCGATCTTCATTCGGATGCCATCTGCTGCAACTGCATAGAACATTTTT